CTGATAGACCACCGACGTGTATCGGAGTGTTAATTCTAAACAACTCAACGGGGGTGGTTCAGGTGGCCGAAGATCGATTTTTACATTTTTTAAATTTATTTTCTAATGCCGTCATGGAATGGAAATTTTCTTCGATAAGTAATTTTTATTTTCTAAAAAGAGTGCTGTGTAAAATTGCAGCACAAACATTTTAAAAGAAAAAAGAAGACGAGGACTCTTTTTATAAACTGTGGTTTGTCATTGATTTATTTTCTTTTGCTAAATTGTCCAAAATTAGATAGGTACCTAATTTTATTGGAACACTGCTGTAGCGCCAGTGTGTGGTCGGCATCAACGGCAACATCGGTATTGGCCCCAATCCCTTTGATGCGTACGCAAAAACCGACAGTCTACGGAAAACTCCCAACGTTGGAGCAAGTCATAAAAACGTTGGCGCCAACATTGGCTCCAACATAGTTTTGTCAGTACACACATTGGATGAACGCTGTTGAGATCAACGTTGGCCCCCACGTGTGGAGCTGGCGTTATATGTAGCGCTGGCAACGCTTAAAAGGGATCTCAACGCCACGCAACTACAGTTATGTATAACTTGGAAATTATACTCCTTGTTTTCTGCGTCATCAATGCGACAGCATGAGCGCTCGTATAATAGCTCTATAATATGAAAAAGAAGTTAGCGCCAGAGAAATGTTTGTTTTTATTTCAACGTTTGTATACGTTACACGAAATACTTGAGATAAAAGCTTAAAGAGAAGAATCATAGGTCCATTTCGCCTCGTGTTTCCCTAATATCCAATTTTTGCATTCTTCAGAACATTATAGACATATTTCATGTAAAATTTCGTAAACCTATCTTTAACTGTAACATTAAATAAAGAAAATAGCCGAGATCATAACATCCATAAAGATCGGACGTCTGCGCTGGATGGGCCACGTTGAACGGATGTTGGAGACTGAAACGCCAAAACATATAATGAGACAAACACCAGTAGGGAGAAGGTCAAAGGGAAGACCTAAACTTACATACATGGAACAAGTGGATCAAGATCTGAAAACACTTAAGATTACCAACTGGAAAAACAAGGCAAGGAACAGAATAGAATGGCGGAAAATCCTAGAACAAGCCAGAACCCAGAAAGGGTTGTCGAGCTACTGATAATGATGATGATGATGATCCTCTTTAGTAATACTTATACAGTAATAGTTGAAAATGTAAAAAAATAAAAAAAAAGAAAATTAATGTCAATGTATATAATTACAATTCCCGCCGCGAACATATTAATAACATCCTAAGCTAAAATAAAAGATTCTTTTAACATTTAGCTAAACAGAAGTTTCTTTTAAGATTACTGCTATAATTATCTTTAAAGATGATTTTTCGATGAAATTTAGGGTCAGTCTCCAAGTGCTCCTGAGCTCATTCAGCGAATACACGCCATTGTATATGTTCGTTTTCTTGCAGCTCCTGGGTCAGTTGTGATCTGTAAAAGGCTAAGTTTTTCAGAACGACGTAAAATTGACTGCTTCAGATTGTCTCGCATACTCTCACGGACAGCGACGATGTTTTTGTGAGAGATGAGCTTTGGCCACGTAAGGGTGTTGGTTGATTGTTTCTAAAACCACTGGACTAAAATTTATCCATAAGACTGCGAATAGTCCTCCCATTAGGACGATTACGGCGACCGAAAAATGGACGAAGCTCGCAGAATGTTGCCCGAATAGAACACCCATTTTGATAAAACAGTTTTATCATTTACACGTGTTGTTGTATGCTATATCTATCTATGGTGTTTTGGCAAAATAGACTGAATAAATGTCAGCTCTTATTGGAATACGCGTATTTACATCTATACGGGATCGATTCCACTACTTAATAATATCTTTATCTCTACATGTTCTCATCTTCTTATCTTATCAACAATTCAATCCCAAAATAATATCATTTCAATATTCTATCCATCTTAAAGTCAAAACAAATTCTGTCCTAGAACTCAAAAAGAAGAGAAGATTAGCCAAAATATTAGGCAATTAATGCAGAAAAGAAGAGTAATGAGAAGCGAGATGGGAACTAAAGCCGACGAACTACAAAAATTAAGAAATATCCAAAGCTGTTAGACAAGACACTCGAAAATACAACCAAGAACAAATCGAACATACAATTGAGAACAATAGAAGTATACAAGTATTGAGAAAAAGACTAAGAACGGAGACAAGGAAGATAATAAAGATTAAAGATAGAAATGGTCATCTTACAACCAACAGAGAGGAAACTCTTAAAATAGTTGTAAACTTCTACAAATTGTTGTACACAAGCCAACACAAAGTAAATAGCGGAGAAGATCAAATACCAGAAATATTAATAAAGAAAAACAGCATTGTCAATCAAGGATCAGAACTACTATCGCAAATCACAGTAGACGAAATATACTAGCCCTAAGAAAAGCTAAGAATAACAAATCTCCAGGCAAAGATTGTGTAGTTACTGATGCAATCAAAATCAGAGGCACTTGCCTACTTAAAAAAATAAAAAACCTTTTTAACATGTGCCTTTTGGACAGTAATATACCCGACAAATGGCACTATACTCAGGTAATTCTATTGTACAAAAAAGGAAATCCCCATGAATTAGAAAACTATAGACCTATAAGTCTTCTTAGTCACCTATACAAACTCCGTACAAGAATAGTAACGATGGTCTTTGACACAGTAGAATTTGACAAAATCCTGGAAGCACTACAAGCATGTCGCATTGACTACCCCTATATAAGGTTAATTTACAATACATACAAGAACGCAGCTATGTCGTTGAAACTACATGAAAACACGGATCCTATCCCAATCGGCAGAGGAGTCCGACAGGGTGATACCTCATCGCCTAAACTGTTTACCGCAGTACTAGAATATGCTTGTAAAAAACTTAACTGGGAAGAGAAAGGCCTGAACATTGACGGTAGAAGATTAACAAATTTGAAATTGAAATACATAGGTGTTTATTACATACTTTCGTTTTGTTCACTGTACTCCGCTTTACTCCACGCCACACCACTCCACACCACTCCAAACCACTCGTTTGTTCTTTATATATTACATTTCCTTCTAATCTTCTCACTTCGCATTTAATATTCCAACATACTTCTTTCTTCTCATTATTGTCATATCTACCGTCTCTAATAGCTTCTGTGCTGTGGCTGTATCGAGTCTTGTTTCTGATGCATACGTAATTATTGAAATTATAGTGACTGATCTCGTAGTATAAATTCTTGATTTTATTTCAGTATTAGAAATAGCCAGAAAACTACAGAGGTAAAAACTTGTTAAATACTACGCTTAAACTTAAAACTAAAATTTTATAAGTGCTAATAAATCAGAGGATAAGTTTAGCAGATGAACAACAGGGTTTTCGTAGTGGAAGATAATGTACAGATACAATATTCGTTATAAAGCAAATTACTGAGAAATCGCTAGATTATAATAGAAAAGCATTTATGTTTCTGATTGACTTAAAGAAAGCATTTGACAGAGTAAGACTCAAAGATATAATCCATCTTCTGTATAATAGGGAAGTTCCCCTAAATAAAACAAAACTATCCAAAATATCTACCAAAACAATAAAATGTAAGTCAGAATAGATGGACAACTTACAGAACCTCTAGAAATAGGTAGCGAAATAAGACAAGGGGATTATTTCGCTACCTATTTCTAGGTAGCGATTCTACAGATGGATGAAATCATCAAAAGCGTTAACAAAGGAGAGCATACAGAATGGAAAACAAAAAAATGAAAATACTATATATATATATATATATATATATATATATATATATATATATATAATAATATAGATAGACCAAGATTAACATATTCTGCAAAGATCGGTCCACAGATTTAATATAAGAGCAAAAGAATTTAATGTGACAGTCCCATCTCAGAAAACTAAAACAATAATAGTCAGCAAAGAACCAATCAGTTGTAAAATAGAAATTGCATCCGTACTGAACAAGTAATGGGACTAAAATACCTAAAAATTGCACTGTCCAACTATGGAGACCTGGACAAAGAAGTGAAAGATCAAGTACAAAAAGCAAATAGACTGGCAGGATGCCTTAATAACACTATATGGCGAAACAGACACATCAACACTAAGATGAAGTCAAGAATTCATAAAGCCAATGTAAGACCAATAATTACATATGCCTCAAAAACAAGACCCGACACAGAACGCAAAGGCTACAGGAAACGGCAGAGATGAGAGTACTGAGAAGAATTACAGAAAACACACTGAGAGATCAAAAGAGAAATGGAGAAATTGGAAGAAAATGTAACGTACAGTATAAAAATGAATAGACACAAAATAGAAAAAAAGAACGGAATAACCACATATGCAGAAGGAAGGGCCCCATTGTCGTCAAAATAGCAAGAGATAAGTAACCAATCGACAGAAGAAGTATTAGACGACCGCGCAAAATATGGAGGTATTACTCCGCCAATTAACAAGAACAATTGCTTATAAAGAGGAGGAAGAAGAAGAAGTAGATTTCAGTATTAATGTGTCAGTTTCGGTGTTCTTTTTTCTCGCGTTGGTTATTCTCGTTGAATTTATTCCAAGCAACTTAATGGCCTAAGCTTCTGATTTAGATTTTAATTTGGCAAATTTCGATTAGTCTTGCAATCGTATAATTTTTAGTTTTCTCCTAATTTTCTTTAGAGTATCTTCCAAATCTTTTAATTTGTCATATGAAACATATTAGCCAATTATATTTTTCCAAATTATGTTAGGACTGTTTTTAGTATTTCAACGTTACGCTTAAATTTTTCATAAAATGCTTATTTGTACTTACTTTTTAACACCTATTATTTGATCTCTTGTGACTATCTTTTATAATTTAGGTTGTAGGCTAGCAGAATATAAATATGTCATTATTTTATATTACTACCAATGTAAAAATAATATCTCTCACTGTTTGGAAAATTACATACAAATAATATATTTTATTTTTTAGATACTTTCGTATCGGAACAGGCCTAACAAGTCAGTGTAGTTTACATTCCTGCACTTCGAGTGAAGTTAGCAATATTGTCCCGACAACTTTGGGAGGCGAGAGTTCTGCCAATAGCTACACTACGTCTCTCAGTACTGATACCCTCTATTGGGACGGATCCTGTGATACTACTTCTAGACAACTCAGCCTAAAATCGAAACATGACCAGCAGAGATACTCGCAACAACCTCAACAATATGAGACTATCTATATACAGTACAATCAGGTAGAGTATCTATTTTTAGTGTTTAGCTGTTTTACTGTGGTTTAGTGTAATAAAAAACGTTTTTTATTGCTTTTTTACTGTGAAGTAGACTACTTCAAGCCCCAGCAATAAGCGTTACTACTTGACTTGACAATGGCAAGTGCAACCTTGCCGAAACCTTGTCAAAATAATCATTTTTCTCAAAACCAAAATTATTTAACGCGTATATATTATTATGATCTGCTTTGTTTTAATTTTTGTTAATTCTAATTGAATTAAACTATATCAAATAATATTTAATTTGTCAGGGTTCTTTACTACACAATAAAATTTATTTTACTTTCAATTCGCGGCTTCTATTATTTCCTGAACGCTGGCTTTCTTTAGGATAGACAAAGGGAATAAATATTCTAACACAATTTATGACCTTTTAAAAATAATCACCATTTATTCCAATACCATATACAGTGGTGAGTGCCTTATCACCCGGCTTTTGAACGTAAGAGATAGAAAACACAGTTACCTTGTGAAATAAAAGGAGATGAAACTCGTAGAGGTGGGAAATAATCGATAGGAACCTATAATTTACATTACATTACGACTATCGATAGCCTCACACCTTTGGACGTTAGCTTTGATCTAAATCACCTCGGTCATAATTATTATGTTTGACAGTTTGACGTCGTATGTGTGACGTATTTTCATTTTTTAATTCGTCGTACTTTCGAAAATAAAGTAAAAATTCTTCAAAATTAAAAGAATATTTAAATAAGTAAAAATTTTACAAAAATAAAAAAATATTGTAAATAAACGTATCTACAATATGTTTAAATAAGCCTTCATTAGCATCAGAATAATAACCCAAACTGTCACTAAAGAATTATAAAAGTCTGATGGATCAGAGTTCAAGGCACGTTGTACTCATGCAGCGCTTAGGGTTCTAATCCTACACGAAGTTTACTTTTTTAAAAATTTAAAATTATGCAGATATTATATCGTTTTGCTTTAAATCATAAAACATTTATTTCAGTCTTTATTAGAAGTGTTTATAGTAAAACATGAAAATCTTATTGAAAAAACAATGTCGTACTTTCGAAAATAAAGTAAAATTCTTCAAACATAAAAGAACGTTCTAAATAAGTGTACTTACAAAAAATGTTTAAATAAGCAGAAATTCTATAAAAATATTCTAAATAAACGTATTTTATTCTAATGCAATGTATTTACAAAAAATGTTCAAATAAGCCTCCATTAGCAGCAGAACAATAACCCAATCTATTATAAAAGTTTCGTCTAACATTAGTTAATGTTTCTGGACTAATACCTCTCATTGAATCAGAGATCTTTTCTCTTAATTCTTGGAGAGAATTAGGCCTATCGTCTTCAATTCCATATAGTTTGGACTTGATATATCCCCACATAAAAAAATCACAAGGTGCAAGATCAGGTAATCTTGCAGGCCAAAAAATATCTCCGTGTCCACTAATCAATCGATTAGGAAAAGTTGCACTGAGATATTCACTGACGATGCGAGAATTATGTGCAGGACAACCATCGTGTTGAAACCAAGTTGAAAGTTCCAAGTATTTCCGCCCAGTCAACATACCGTCTATAAAAAATGGACCAATGACATGATTCCCTATTATGCCTTCCCAAAAATTTACTTTTTGAGGACGCTGGGTACGAGCGACATAAATCTGACGAGGATTTCCTCGGGACCAATACCGAGCTTTCATTAAATTGTGACTGCCATGCAATGAAAACGTACATTCATCGGTGAACAAGACGTTCTCTAAAAAATGTTCATCTTGATGTGACATTTCCATTGCAGTTTGACAAAATTCTAAACATCTATATTGATCCCCAGGGAATTGTTCGTTGGATTTATGAAGTTTATAGGGTCGGTATCCATGTCTTTTCAAAATTTTACCAGCTCTAAATCTTAAAATTCCATATTGTTCTCCGAGACGAGATGTTGATTAGGTAGGATTTTGCTCAATACTTGCACAAATCAAAGTGTCCCTTAGTTCCAAATCTGGATTTACCTCCCTTCGTCTACGAACTCCTCTTGGAGCGAACACGGATCCATAAGTAAAAAAATTACGTATAATAGATTGAATTGTTGATCGTTATGGAGCCGGCCAATTAGGAAAGATATTTACAAATTGTTGTCTAATCATGTTGTCTGAGAATCCATTCACATGCCAGACAACAATTTGCACTTTTTCCTCGACCGTTAAAACCATTTTCACGAATTGTTTTTTCAATAAAAAGTTTCTGTGTACCGTGCAAAAACACTTCTCGATATGTTATTATTTGATGGCTTAAAGGCTTCGCTTCGCGCGCATCCATTCCAATGTTAATTGTTTTGAAAATCATTACCTGTACAGAGGAATTGGTATTAACACTAAGAATTTAGTAATGGATTTGATATAAAACAGTCATTACAATCATAAACAGAATTATTTTGTATTTCCGTTTTATAAAATTGAAATAAGAATAAATTGTAAATAATGAGTTTGTCGAAAACTTGTTACCTAATATGTATCATCATTTTTATCATTTTTTGATTGAGTAAACAAAAATTTTATCTGTGAATTGAACCCCAACCTTCTTGTCAATAGACCACGTGTCTAAGCATTACATCAACTCCACATACAATAATTGTTTTCAGACAGAACATACCTACCTTTAGTTTAGTCAAATATTTTAGTTTAGTTATTTTTATTATTAAATAAACTTAAAGATTTATAATTTAAAATCGTTACTAATTAATGTTTTTTACTATAATATATCTTAATTTATTCAATCATTTATTCTAACATCTGAAATTATTAAAAAATTACTCTTGTCACGGAATAATTATCAATCCATCGTGGATTAGTGGTAAGAATTCGACACTGCGGTGCAGACGATTAGAGTTCAAAACCTACATGTGTTTTTTTAATAATTTGAAATTATGCAGAGATCGTTTTGCTTTTGAACATTTATGTCAGTCGTTACTAGTATTAGAAGTGTTTAAAGTTAAACATAAATATCTTATTGAAAAAAGTGTCCGTCGTACTTTCGAAAATAAAGTAAAAATTCCTCAAAATGAAAAGAACGTTTAAAGAATGTTTAAATAAGTAAAAATTCTACAAAAATAAAAAAATATTGTAAATAAACGTATTTACAATTGTCAATTGTTTTGAAAATCATTACCTGTACAGAGGAATTGATATTAACATTGAGAATTTAGTGATGGATTTGATATAAACAGTCTTCACCGGATTATTTTGCATTCACAACTAAAGACTGTATGAATTGAATTTGAATTATTTTGTATTTCCGTTTTATAACATTGGAATAAAAATAAATTGTAAATAATGAGTTTTTCGAAAATTTGTTACCTAATATGTATCATGTTTTCTATTATTTTTTTGAATTGAATCCCAATTTTCTCGTCAATAGAAAATATCCCTAACTACTACACCAATTCAACATACATTAAATGTTTTCGGACAGAACATATCTACCTTTATTTTAGTCAAATATTTCAGTTGAGTTATTTTTATTATTAAATAAATTTAAAGATTTATAATTTAAAATCGCTACTAATGAATGTTTTTTACTATAATATCTCTTAATTTATTTAAGTATTTATTCTAACATCACAAATTATTAAAATAAAATATTTTTGAGGTTATCCGTGTAATTATGACTGAAGTCAAATAGCCACGTCTAACGTCTAAAGGTGTGACTATCGATGGTGGTAATGCAATATAATGTAAAGTATAGGTTTCTATCGTATATTTCCCACCTCTACGAGTTTCATCTCTTTTTATTTCACAAGGTAACTGTGTTTTCTATCTCTTACGTTAAAAATCCGAGTGGTAAAGCACTCATCACTGTATAAATATCAACATAAAATTGTATACACTGAATTATCTATTCCTCAGAGCAAAAGAAAACTTAATTCTGTTATGTCCCTTTTAAAACCAATTTATTTAATTTACTGCAAAATTTTTCTCATTAACTTTCTTAAAAATAAACAAATTTTATTATGTGCAAATTTTCTGACTTATGAATTCAATTCTTTTGTATCAATTGCCTTATGATATGAGTTTAAATAAAATATAAATGGTGTACATACAACGCTTATTTCACAAACAAATTAACTAGCCTTTTTTATCTTCTTTCTGCGATGTCTCCCAACGGATACTGACCTAATCTCCGGATTGTCGTCCTGAAATACTGTCCAATTTTCTAAAACACGTGTGGTTCTACTTCCTCCCTCCAAAAACTGTTACACAAAAAACAGCACTCGTTCAGTTTTTCACCAAATAAAAAAAACACCTCCGACTCGTTTTACAATAATAATAATGGGACTCTTTCCGCAAATTGCGTCTCACGCCTCTAATGGTTATCTTGTACAAACTTTATGTAACTTTTTTTCGTTTTCTTACAGATTTAGGAGTCTCTTCAGATACAAGGAGTTCGAGTTATCTACCTGGGTCTCGATTAATCTTCAACTATTCTGCTCACCAGCTTAAACTCACACACAAAAACTTATACTTCTTTTTCATACATTGTTCTCAATCTGGACTTCTTGTTCTCCATTTTAAAAACACAATGATTCAAATCTTCAGGTTCAATTTTCAAGTCGACCGTCCTATTTTCCTCCCTAAGTAATTTCTAGCCAATTAACATTAATTCATACAAATTTATCCCACTACCAATCTTCAAATTTTCCTAATTTTAAATTTCAAGAAATCAAGCGTGTTTACTGTAATTGGTTTTTCCCCCAATTACCAGGATATAATATCGACTAAGCTTTCTTTGTTTTGCTACCGGCAAATGCCCCTTTGTAAAAGATAACATCTATTCATAGCATTTCCTTCGAACAAAATAATATACAATTCATTATATCTAACATTAACTTTGAATTCTTATCTGCTACAACCATATATAATTATTTGTAAAATTTTAAACAATACTTTCTTACTTCCTAAATAATCCCGAATTGTTTTTCTATACAAATGTTCATTATATTTAATTAACTTATTACACTAATATACTATATATATATATATATATATATATATATATATATATATATATATATATATATATATATATATATATATATATATATATATATTTAGCAAACTCTTAAATATTGGAATCTGCAAGAAAGACTCTAATGAGTATAGAGAAGAAATTATAATTAGCTACCTACCATATCTATTAAAAAACACTGGTGATCTTAGAGTAACTTAGAATTGTAGAGTTAAACTGTTAAAAAACTTAGCTAGTAACAACACGGTGTTACTATGTGAAAAAAATTTACCGTTGGAAATGTATGGTAGCTTTGACCTTGAAACGCAAAGGTGTAAGTACCCAAGGTTAATCGGAAAACCTAATGTAACTACATTGAAAAGGAATTAATTCTTTGAATTGTCGGCAATAACTAAATTTTTGATTGTTTGAAAGTTTAAATGTGAGGTTCTGTTTTATCACAACGAATGCGCTGACAAGTTAAAGTAGATTCTTTTTGTCGTTAAGGTTCATTGGTAAAACAGAATGAAGTTAAATTCCAGTATAGGGAAATATTATTATTTTAGATTTTTTTAATTGAAATATTTTTTATTATATTATATTGTTCATGTATTATTATTATATCTTATTGAGATGTATCTAAAGGGAATGTTGTAATCTTTTTTAATTAATGAAAATTATTATTTAAGTCTCCTTTCCTTTCGGTCTCCTTTCTTATGTAAAAGGAGACCGAACAGATCTAAACAACTACCGTCCTATTTCCCTTTTGTCACAACTATATAAAACCTTCACAAGAATAATAAACAACCGACTAACCTATAAACTTGATAACTACCAACCAGTGGAACAGGCCGGATTCAGGAAAGGATACAGCACAATCGACCATCTACATGCGCTTAAAATCTTAATTGAGAAAACCAATGAATACAACCTTCCGCTGTACTTAGCATTCGTAGATTATGAAAAGGCTTTCGACAGCATTGAACACTGGGCGGTTGAAGAAGCTCTGGTCAATAGTAGAATAGATTCAAGATACCGACAATTGATACATGATATTTACCAAAACGCAACCATGACCGTAATTCTGGACGACAAATTAATAACGGATAATATAAAAGTTAAACGAGGAGTCCGACAAGGCGATATAATTTCACCTAAACTGTTTACCTTGACCACAGTATAAAGAGGTTCCTCTTTATACTGGAACCTCTTTATACTGTGCCTTGACCCTCGAAGACATAATAAAATCAACAGATTGGGTAAACAGAGGAATATGTATTAACGGAAAATACCTAAATCACCTTAGATATGCGGATGATATACTCCTGATCCCCTCGGAACGACAAGAACTGGAATTAATGCTGAATGAACTTAATGAAAAATCACTGCAAAAGGCCTAAAAATTAACTTCAACAAAACAAAATTAATGACAAACACGGAAGACCAAGAGGCAATAAAAATAAAAACAGAAAAAATAGAACAGGTAAATGAGTATATCTATCTAGGACAAGCAATCAGAGCTAACAGAGAAAATCAAACAGCCGAAATATCGAGACGAGTAAGAATGGGATGGGCAGCGTTCGGCAAACTTTCTTACGTTTTAAAAAATCAAACAATCCCTCTATACTTACGAAGCAAGGTATATAACTCCTGCATAATACCGGTGCTCACCTACGGAGCACAGACATGGACATTTACACAGGCCAATTTGGATAGGATAAGGAAGGCACAAAGAGCGATGGAGAGACAAATGTTGGGTGTATCACTTAGAGATAGAAAACGTAATCAGTGGATCAGAACCAGAACAAAGACAGTAGACGCGATAGAACAAGCAGCAAAACTGAAATGGAAATGGGCTGGACACAATGAACGTCTCCAAGACGGACGATGGAACAATGCCATCGGAAAGTGGCGTCCATACAATACAAAGAGATCAAGAGGCAGACCACAGATGAGGTGGAAAGATGACATCAGGAAACAAGGAGGTTCCACATGGCAGAGAACAGTGCAAGATAGGGAAAGATGGAGAGAACTGGGGAGACCTATATCCAACAATGTAAGGATAGAGAATAGGTTTAAAAAAAATTATTTAAGTAGGTTAGTTGTTAATGGATATAACCTACTTAAATAATAATTTTCATCAATTAAAAAAGATATTATTCCCTTGCTTTTCTTAGATACATCTCAATAAGATATTATAATAATAATACATAAACAATATAATATAATAAAAAAAATTTCAGTTAAGAAAATCTAAAATAATAATATTTCCCTAAATTGGAATTTAATTATTCTGTTTTACCAATCAAGGAAGAACAAAGTGAGAGTACAACGAAATATCGACGAAGAAGAAGATATTGTAGGTACTTCCTTTTCCCTCGAGGAGATCAGAGGTGCGATCCACCAAATGAAAGATAATAAAGAGGCTGGCCTAGACGATTTAGAACAGAACAAATAAAGCACTTTGAACCAAAAACCCTAAAGTGGCTCGTAAAAATGATGAACTGTTACGTACGTACATTCCAAATCCCCAAAATCTGCAGAAAGCTAGAGTGGTAGCCCTCTTAAAACCAGTAAAGGATCCGGCGGATACAAAGAGTTTTACCTGTCTCTCTTTTGTGCCACCCTTTCAAGGCGTTCGAAAAAATGAAACTGAACCGGATCGCTGAATCTGTGGACACTAAAATTATTCTTAAACAAGAAGGGTTTAAACCCGGAAAATGCTGCTGCAGTCAAACTCTTAATCTCACCCAACATGTTGAAGATGGGTTTAACGGAAAGAAATAACAGAAGTAGCGTTCATAGACCTGACTGCCGCCTATGACACAGTTAACCATCAACGGAAATTACAAAGGATTTCGACTAACAAGATTAATGAAATGTCTGAAAAGTAAGCGCCAGAAATAATACCATCCGCAAACTTACAAACACAAAATGGGGAGTACAGCCACATACTCTCCGTACCTCTGCCTTAGCATTATGATTTTCTGCCACCGAGTTTAAAGCATCAGTGTGGGAAAACTCTGCTCACGCTAAAAACGTCGATGTTGCTTTAAATGAAATGATTCGTATAATATCTGGTTGCCTGAAACCGACACATATCGAAGAGTCTACCCTATAGTGGGAATCGCTCCATCTGCTATTAGAAGACAGGTCACGTCAGAGATAGAACGAAAGAAGCAGGAGACGGATCGAAGACACCCCTTGTATGACCACCAAGTTGAGACAAGTAGATTAAGGTCTCGGAAAAGTTTTCTGAAAATACCACGATCCCTTTCCGAATAGCCAAAGACGCGCCCAATACACCTATAACGTCAGGTACGACACATTTTATTCCCTCAGAGGAAATGGCTGCTGGACACAATTTGCCGTATCCCACATGGAAAGCGCTAAACAGACTAAGAACTGGTGTTTCACGTTGTGCTAGTAACCTGAAAAAATGGGGATACCAGGAGAACGACACCTGCGATTGTGGCGCGGTTCAAAATAATCACCATCTACTATCATGCACAGAGATCAACCATTGGAACCACAAAATTTAAAGCTGTTGGTGTTCCGGACACGGAAAGTAAGTAAGTTTTACCAATGAACCTTAACGACATAAAGAATCAAAAGTACTACTTTGACTTGTCAACGCATGCGTTCTGATAAAACAGAACCTGACATTTAAACTTTCAAACAATCGAAAATTTAGTTATTGCCGACAATTCAAAGAATTAATTCCTTTTAAATGTAGTTACATTGGGTGTTTCGATTAACCTTGGGTACTTACACCTTTGCGTTTGAAGTTAAAAACTATCATACATTTTCAACGGTAAAATTTTTTTCACATAGTACCAAAAAAACCACTATGTCGTTACTAGTTAAGTTTTTTAACATTCTAACTCTACAATTCTAAGTTACGGTAAGATCACCAGTGTTTTTTAATAGATAATATATTCTTTAATATATTAGATTGGGAATTGCGTCGGTCATCCAAGATTCTTGACTCGTTTGTCTGACTGATCAGCGGTATTAAGACAAAATAATTAAATCACCTCGTAAATGTAAATGATAAACTGTTGCATTTTCAGGTTAAACCCAAATCTTGGGACAACTTGGCAACCAAAGCATTCGGAGGTTACGGTTTTGGTTATGGATATCTAGACACCTCATCCAAGTGTGGACAAAAAGCTGGCCGGGTCCAGCCCCCAACTAAATGCCAAGGCACTCAATATATTAAAATGGAGAAGCAGCCAATAGCTTGCAACAGCAATGCTGTGCAGCTACAATACACACCACATTCCCATCGAAGGTAACACTTAGAATCTTTCTTTGACAATAAGTAAATTTAAAGTTTTATTTTTAGATATATACAACCAACAAAATCTACAGAAAGCCTTCTATCCGTTCCAAAATATTCATCTGAAGCTTTATCGGACTCAAGTATTTCTTGTGAGTGTTTGGAGAATCCCTCTCCTGGTCCAGAGTCTTCAGAAAATCGATTTTTTCAAAGTCCTCGTCAAAGCATTATGAGTCCAACTGATCCAAATTTTGGATACTATAGTGCTAGAAGAACATCTAGGGGCGACTATACAAAAAGTGTAGTTACTACTAGCTCTGAAGCTACTCGACTGTAGTTGATTTTATATATGGTACATTTTTGGTACACAAATATGTTATATATTAGTAACAAGACAAAAAACAAACCAGCGAAAAATATTCTTATTAGGACAACTGACATTTACATTCTTATTTTGTACAAGATTTAAGTTTTATAATAAATTATTGTTAATCTTGAAAAAGAAAAATTTTTCATTGAAATATGTCGCTTGAATTGACATACGAGAACTGTTCTGTACATTTTTAGTATAAAAACCTACTGTGGTATTGGAGGGATGATTAAGGTTTATTAAATATTTGTTAGTCTTCCATTTAACACAATATTTATTTATATTTATAAACACATATTAACGACTGTGTTTACATTATCAGCCGGAACATATAAACAATAACTCAATATGCCGACCTATGTTAACTGTTATGGAACCATATTCTAATATACCTACGATCCGATATAGTGAATTCCTTTTATTATAATTTAAGAATATTTACCGTTTTAATACTTAGGGGTTAAAACGCTACCATACTACCTATACATTTTGTTATTTACAAAAAAAATTAGTGCAGAGTCTAGATAGACATGAGGGTGGTTTACCAGCTTTATAGACCAGGGCAGACCTATTTTGAGGTGGGTGTGAGAGGTGGCATTCTGATATTTGCAGAAAAGTTGGTTTGATAGCTTCAATATTAATCCTCTTTCTTAAATTGGAAATATTAATAAAAAAATTAAAATATTTAAAAATGATTAACAACATAATTTTTTTCTACTTTCCTTGCTTATAACTTTAAAACAATTCATTTCGGAGCAAAGTCGTAATAAAATAAAATACCTATAATTGAGAAATGATAGTTAAACAAATAGTTTTGCTAATAACTCAATGCTAGGAGATAGAGTTCCAGTTGTGATTTAAAGAGCTGAAACAAAGCCGAATTGCATTTACAAGGCACAACATTGGAAACACTGGATACAACTGAGGGAGGAATGTGTTCACTAGTAGACGCTACAGGCTGTCTTATAATGAACACTTTACAGAAACCTCTTTTTTACAGATTATTCAGAAAATACAGCTTTTTCTTCTTGCGGTATTCTTTCGGTTATTACGGTATTTCTTAATCCGTTCCGGATGTTGGCGATCAGCATGGCTATCCCAACTTTTTAACAAAAAAGCTAACACAATTAGATGGTTAAAGGCTGATGGTTCACCAAGACTTAACAAAAAGCACGTTGCTCAATTCGGAAGCTTCATTGGGGCTGGTTAAGGATATGATTAATAGGATAGTAACAGATCAAAGACAGATAGATAAATAAGAAGTAGATAATAAACAGATAATAACTAAATAACGAAATATACCAGTTTGACAAGACAACAGAGGAAACAAGAAACACCGAGTACAGCTAAAATGCAAAATAAAGAGGGCCCAATAACTCTTAGCCAGAGTCATTTTTGTTAAGACATTCTCTCTAGTCGGATTGCCAAATAGAGGCCTGTCCTAATTCTCACCATTCATCTCTGCTGTTTGTAAGACGTTTTCACATTGGCCCTGCAATTCTTTTAACATTGTCGCTCCATCGCATTTACGGTCTTCTTCGTGGTCTTTTGGCTTCATATGGCCGCCAATTCCAATTTCTTTATTCCATCGGCCATCCTTAAGACCTTCGTTATGTCCAGCTCATTTCCATTTCAGTTTAGCTGCCTGTTCGACAGGCAGAGTTCTGTCGAACCAGAGTCATAACGAACACAAAATCGTCAGAAAACGAATCAAAGAATTATCAAAGCAAAATTATAAAAAAGCACTTATTTACCCGTAAGCTGAAAAAGATTATAATCCTATAAAATACTTTAAAAAGTTATATCTAAAATATTATTGTAATAAAGTAATACATCTCAAAAAAAATGTTTTCCACAAATCGCCAGGAAATTTTGACATTCCTGTCAAAATTTCTTGAAGAAAAAGTCAGGACTTCCTTACTGTAAGGAAATGTCATTTCCTTACTGTAAGGAAATGATATTTCCGTACAGTTGTTAGTGTTCTACATAAATGATAGAAAACACATTGCTTATAAGGAATTAATTTATATTTTGAAAACATTAAGTCATTGCTGAATACATTTTTAAGATCAATTTGTTATATTTACAGTAATTTGACAGTTAGTACAATTATTGAACATTGGAGGAACACTCTTAGAACTATGAGAAACATTTTGGACAACATGCAGGGTGAAAGTGTCATTTTGTTGAATATTTTGTACTGTGAAAATTTTATTTGCCACCTCAACCTTATTGTTAAGCGATTCTTCGATATATCCTTCAGCAACGTTTGATGACTTCCATCCGCCATGCCTCTTTAAACTAGTTATGTCGGCACCAGAGTCAACCAATATTGTTGCAGAAGACCGACGAAAGCAGTGACCAGTATATTCTGTCGGATTTACCAAGTTCAAATAAGTAGCAATTATTTTGGGCATTTTTCTAAATTGATGAATTCCTACCACTTGTCTACAACACTTTCCGCTTTGATATTTAAAGAAAAATCGGTCACTGTTCATATTTTCTGGTCTTAACGAAACATACTTTCGATAAACATTCAAGTAGATCTGATTAATTACAAATGATCTTGGTTTGTTGGTTTTCGAATCAGGTATGCTGATTAAAAGCTTAGTTTCTAAGTCTTCTATATCGTGTACAGTCATTCGGACTAACTCATCCATTCTACAGGCCCCAGAAATACCAAATATTACAGCCACCTAAAAAATAAATAAAGCTATAATCTAAATAGAGATTAAAACCTTGTAAATTACCTTAATCATTAAATTTTCTTTATCTGGAGCTTCCTGGATAAATTTTTCAATTTCTTCCTTCGTTAAAATCTTAGATTTCTTTGCCCTATAACCTTGAGCTTGCCGTTTCAATAAAGAACGAAGTTTTGAGTATGTAGATATATCTACATTGTGTTTAAGTGCAAGGGTTGACTTCAGCATTGAATAATTGGCCCATAATGTTGAAGATTTCATCTTTAAACAAAGGTCTAGAAAGTATGCCATTACAACATTTTCTGAGAAAGAACTCGTATTTTTACTCATGCGATAATCCATAAAAAGTCTGTATGCATTTTCGTACTTTTCTCTTGATTTCTTTGGCAATAATTCTAATGAAGCAGTATTCACTGCCTCAACCAGCTCTGGAGGAGTCCCAGGAATGGAAATTTCATCATCACTTATCATTTTACTTTCGAGAACACCAGCAATTAAATTTATAAGCGTCAAGTTTGACAATTCAACCTCAATACGTTTCCATAGTAACCCAAGTAATTTTATTAGGAATTTCAAAGCACCATTTATTTGGGAATAAAATTATCGCGTTTTTTTTTAAATCAATCAATATCTGTCGAATTTTAAACGATTTGCGGAAAAATAGTATGTTTACCTCGTAGGAAAAGCCACATTCCTGGACTCTGTGTTGATAAGTCTCGGCTTGCGCCTCGACTTAGCAATCTTCACAGTCGTCCAGGAATGTTAAGCTTTTCCTACCCGGTAAACAATGTACTATTATTAATACTCAAAAAATATACACAAATAAATGCTAATTTCAGCAATTAGCCAACGTGTATTTATTAAATACTCAATAAACAATTAACTTACGACCATTATTGTCGTCAATAAACTTAGATTTAGACAAACAATAACTAAGACAAGTTGCAGACGTTAAATAAATTAAAATAAAATTTAATTAACAAGTTAATTTAATTAAACTTTAAATTTATCAACACAACAAAATGACAATTAAATGAATATTCGACTACAAACTAAATCGAATTAAAAAAAGTGCTTTTGTTCCTGTGCTGAAGCCAAGAAAAAGAAAACGGTCATTGGCTTTTAAAGCCCTAAAAACAGGTGGATTCTCCAGATGTATGCGATAAAAAGAATGTATTTTACCACCTTCGGTAAGAATATTGACAACTCTTGTCGAAATTGAAAAAAATAATCCTAGTAGAACCATATGGAAATCTTTCTGTTTATCGAATAAATTAACGATAGATTGACAAATCCTACCACATAACATATAAGTTTCATCGCAACTAAACAAACACGAGATATTGGCCATAAATAAAGACATATTAAGCCATTTCGAAGGACAACTAAGAACTGAGACTGAAATTGGATTTTGCAATCTCTTTTATAACTTTTTTTTATGAAAAAGTAATTTTTAAGTTCTGAGATTTCATTTAAACTTAGTTGGACAAGGGGAACTTTTAAGTAAACATACTTGACTTATTCAGAGCGATAAAAAATAATTTCTTGACATGGGTAACGTAAAAGTACAGTTTCGTTAAAGGTTTTAAATTTTCGAAAATTGAATCGTCACAACTTTTCTTACAGTTATTCGGAGTAATACGATGTTTTAATTGTTGACTAAAATTGATTGGTCACTAGTTAATCGTGGTGGTAAATAGTTGATCGATAGGATGAAGAAATAACTTGTTAGACGAAATCTCTTCACACGTTCTTTACTGTGCTCGCTCTTATGGCAACATATGAAAACATACTGCCTGTATAAAATTTTAACAGCTTTGCCCAGAGCTTACAATGTTACCATCTGAACAAATAAAAACTTATCGCTAAGAGTATACCTACATAATACTTAATATTTTAGAATAAAATATTTTTAAGCAAATCCCCGTTGAAGGTTACCTTCATAATAGATAATAAATATAAATAAAGTCTTATGTATTTCTACCATCACTAACGCTCTCTTGCTGCATTGGTAACGGACATAAATGACGAACATAACGAATAACAGTTTTATTGTTTGTTTCTACTTCTGCTCCTCTTGAAAGTTTATCTTTACTGGAATGTAAGCTAATAATATGTCCCAAAGACCATCTACATTGTGGTTGTTGATAACTATGAATTAACATTAAAGTTCCAATCTTCAGATGAAGCGAATATTCTTTCCATTTGTATTGACATTGTAGTTGCGACACGTGTTATTGCACATGACGATTCTAAAATCGTTAATACATGCGCCGAATCGTTTTGTAGTGCCCAAGTCAGTGTCGTGAATGGTAGTAATAGGACGGCCAATTAGGAAATGGGAAGGTGTAATTGGCATTAGGTCAGGTGTGTCATTAGAGACTGAAAATATACGGATAGAATTCAAGCCTTCCTTGATCTAAATTTGCAGAGAGTTGAAATCCTCGTAGATTAGTTTTTTATCGAGTAACATCCTGTTTAAATTGTATTTCACGCTTTTGACTGCGGCCTCCCAAAAGCTTTCAAAAACTGG